ATATTGTGAACAATTTTTTGAAAGGTCTTAATTTTAATGACAAGTTTCACTTTAATATGAACCGAGATGATACTCACGTTTTATAAGCAAAGACATTTCATCTTATGTTTAAACGTAAGAAGATCAAATTGTTTTTTTTTCTGGATATATAAATGAATTTGTTTTTTAAAATGTTAGTATCATATGAAAAGTATTGTTATTGTTAATTTTTCATTTTTGATATTTCATTATACGTGTAGCATATATTTTTATTTTGCAAAGGATGGAAGTGTCTTATATGTCTTAAGGGCAAAAATATAATATGATTGTGCATGATAGTATATATTAGATTGTGACATTATAATAGACTATCTACTTTCTTACTTGTAGATATCATTACAAAAATAAAGGTAACAAACATTAACTTACGATTATGTTTTAATGATTTTACTTTTAAATAGCGAAAAAATATCATAAATCCAAGTAAACTTGACATTGAACTAACTAATCCCAAGATTTCCTTTTCAAAACTTTTCTTGTACTTGTGTACGTAGTTTTTTTTTTTTTTTTCATCTTGAACCGTGTTTAATGAAGTGGTTTGCCTATTTACATGTTCATTCCAATCCAATACGGATAGGTTTGTCACTTGTTTGAAGAAGTTAAATGACCCTTAATGTCAGTTGATTTAAGATGTAACTGACTTTTACACACTTTTCCATGGTTTTTCACTATTTGAATAAGGTGCTCGATTGATGTTTGGGCAGTGACAAAAAGTTTCTGTATTGATGTTTCCTCGTTATATGTTGTAAAAGAACATGGTACATGGCTTTCCTGAGCTATATATAGATCTTCATGTGGTTGCGTTATATTGTTTTTAATGTAGAATGTCATTACTTTAAATACCTTGTTTTTATTTGTAGTTCTGCTTGGATTCCCACCACCCATTGCCTTTTTTATGTCATTGGTCATTTCATATATCAAATTCTTCTCATCAACAAATCCAGAAGTAAAATGTATTTTTCCTTCAATTGGTTTTGGTTTTTCTTCCCTCATATCATTTCTTCTTTTAACACTCTCAATTTTATCTTTTGAAAATTTTCGTTTTTCTGCAGGTTGAATATATTTTCATTCCTATTTACTGTAAGTGCTTCCATGATTATGAAAAATTCAAGTTCTAAATTTCCCTCCAAATATTGATAGCTACTGAGGTTGGACATTCCAATTTTCACTGAACGCAGGGCTGATTATTCTCAAAACAGAAGTCTGTTTCTATACTTTTTCATGATGGTTTTTGAGAACATCGTTTAATATTTTTGAGCTTTTATTTGTATTTGTAATTCAATTATTGAAAATTTTCCCTCAAAAATAAATTACATGTGGTCCGTAACAGAGGAACAAAAACTTGGAATTCTGGCATTTTTTCATGGGGACTTTAATGAAATAACATCACTAAGTACTTCTTCTAACCTTCATTTAGAAGATAATACAGAAAACAATCTAAATTCAAGTGATGACATTGAGCACTCTGGTCGAAGTGGGTCAGATCAACAAAGTGCTGGAAATGATCTCAATGATGAAGATATGTGTCAGAAATGTTTTCGTAGTCCGTGTGTTACACAAAATACACAAAATTCATTAGGTGTAGGACAGAGACCACATGCAAAGAGTAAAATAACAAAAATTCCGATCTCCAAGGAAAATTCAAAACTGAAAGTCACTTATCAAATGGCAAAATTAAAAGCTCAAACACATCAAACGAATGGAAAACAACTGTCATATTCCTGACTTGGTACAAGGAATAGTGGAAAAGGAAATCTCAAATATAAATTGTTCTGTAGCATGCTGCAGGATAGATAAGCATGGAGCAATCCTCAATATCTGAGGAAGAAAAGTAGGCTTCTGAATAGGGATAGGGTTAATGAAACTGTTGTAAACGTCAGAAGAGAAGTTATTCCTGAACATGCTGAATGTGTGTTTAATCTTGTGAGGGAGTTGTACCCAAACCCTATGTACATTTGTTTACAAACAGAATCAGCTGGTATAAGGCTCCGACTTCTTAATTCAAATTTGAACTAATAATTTGTTCACTTCAGATTTTTAAACATGGAATATTTAAAAGTTTTTTAATAATTTTTTTTATCATAATATGTTGCAAATTTTTGAATTTTCTACATATGTAACAAGAATCATAATAAATTACAAGTGATAACAAAAGTTATTCAGAAAACATTGTCTCCGATTGTCACGACAAATCAATAAAATAGCCTTTCAAGACGTCATTATTATTTTGACTAGTCGATCTCATAACTATTTTAAACATTTTAACTCGATTTACTGTTTACTTTTGCTGCTTCTCATGTTCCCGTTAGGTGTCAATATTGACCAGGCGTATGAATTGTTGAAGGCAATATGGTGCCCTATAATGGTCCACGTCTTTGTTCCTTGATTAGTTTGTATATGGATAGTTACGTTGTCTCATTGGCAGTTGTCTCATTTGCAATGGTCTCATTTGCATTCATATGCAACTCCTAATGTTTACCTTTTTTTTTTTTTTTTTTTTTTTTTTTTTGCCTTTCAATCAATGGCAGTTCTTTTCCAAATACTATTTATGTGTTTCGTCAAAATATTAATTTTTACACTTTAGAGTGACTGATAAGGGTGAACAAATCCTTAGTCTCTAGAAACAGAAAATGTAGAAGACGCCTCGAAACAGCACCAGATCGTTTGACATTGCAGCGTATATCACAATATTTAGATTGTGATAGTTCCAGTTTTAGGAAGAAAATGTAAAAATCTTGTGACAAGAAATTAAACACAAATAAACCCGACAAACAAAGTAGTTAATTAATAAAAAATATCATTACATGATTATTTCTGTATCTGTTATTGGCCCTCGGACAGCTGCATTTGCATTCGATCTTGCCTCAGGCCAATACAGCAAGCCTTTAGTATATTACAAGGTCAATACAGAAATAATCACCTGTTAACATCATAATGCATCGATTTACTGGACGGTTCTTTTCTATTTATATGTGAAAAAGGCAGAAATAAACATTATAAACGATATCCATTTTAAGAAAAATAACAATACTATTAATGTATTTAATTTATTATTATACCATTTTAATGAAGCTCAAGCATCATTTGTAAAAAGACATTTCATAAAATTTATAAATAAAGTATTGATTACAAAATCACATATTGATTTAACGACAAACGTCATTCAGGTTTAAAATCGATCATGCTTAATCACAACAATTAAATCTATGTCATGGCTAAGATTTTATATTTCATCCATGTGTATTCATCCTCTGGCAGTCACAAGCGCTTACTGTATTATGTTCAGGACAGCAAATGCATGACATGTACACTCTGTCACGAACATGAGACTTTGGACAGTCCAGTTCTACATTATTTCCATGTCCTCCATTGCTAATAGTTGGTCTGAAATTCAATAGTAAGCATTGTTTAGAAATGAATAAATAATTATTTGAAATGCCGTGATTGCGCAAAACATTAAATTCAAAGTGTTTAAAATATCTGTCAACACTTTAACAACTTTTTGTTGCAGGGATGAGGATATTGTCGGACAAATTTCAAAGTTTCAAACAACTTATTTCACTGTTTTTTTAAATGTAACAGTAGACGAACTTCCTTTGAAAAAAGATAACACCACATGTGTAAGTGGTTTTGATTTTTTTCCCTGACATTAAGAACAACTGGTTTCACCCAGCCAATTTCAAAAGACTTCATGAGAAAAAGTGTTCTTATATTACAAGATTAACCACGAAAAAATGTCTAAATAAAAATGACAATTGTATTTACATTCTGAGGATTGTTCCCCTTTTTTAAAATAAAATCAGTTTAATTGTACTCACTCGCAAACATATAACCAATCACAACCTTGGGTGTTAGTATAGCCATATTTAATTACTGCGTCAGCGCCATTTGCACAATCCATGGGTACCAACTGACGTTTTTTCCTGTCTCCAAATGTTGTATTGGTATCCTCTGAAAAAAGGAAATTCATAGTAATATAACAATACATAATTATTTATAAAATGCTGGGAAAACACTAAATGTGTCCAAATACCTACAGAAACAAATCATGATCTTAATTACTTGCATAAGAAATTCTATCTTTATTACTTTTTTCTAAGTTTACAAGAATATTTGTCTTATTTGTTTTGTGGTTGCTGATGTGTATGTACGTTAAGGATATTATCTACTATGGCCTCTATATCAAATTGTAGTCCAACACGAAATAAAAATTACGATGATAAAATTGGATCAATAGTTCCAATTATCATGATCTACATTGTACTCACTTTTATTTAAACTAGAAATTAACAATGAAGATGGGTTGAGAACAAATGCTTACGACATAAGAGATGGGTTCAGCTTCCCAATTATGAACTTTTCATTTCTATGTATCATTGATGACGACAGATATGTGCCAATTGTCGTAATTGCAATCCTGTTCTCTTTTTCTTAAATGAGTCGTACCGATTGAGACTTATCACCTGGTTTGAACTTCCTTTAGCAACATCACGGGTACCACATGTGGAGCTTGATCTACTTGCTCTTCTGTGCACATGGTATCACCCCCGGTTTTTATTTAAGTTCGTGAAGCTTAATCTTTAATTTTCTATGTTGTCTTATGTTTACTGTTATTTGTCTTTTAGTCGTTTGTAAGCTCATTTTCGACTTATGAGTTTAAACATTCATTTGCTATATTTTCTTTCTCTTATAGTTCAAAATTTTCAGTTATCAAAATCACAGTAAATTATTTGTGAACATAAAAAAGCCCATAAATAATATGTTGATCAAACTGGAGTTGAGCAACACATACAAACAAATCTAATCATTGAATAGCTACATCCTATTCAGTTATTTCGTGACAATGATGTATTTCCTTTATCTTGTAAGTCTTCTCTTATATAGTTTCTTATAGTAAATTTACATTTATCCCTATAAACTTATTGACGATGAACTTTCATGACCTCGGATAAATTACTTACTAAGAAACTCTGCATTCTCTGGAATTAGTCCAACTTCATATAGTTGAAATCCGAAACCTTCAACAAATTCTTTTGCACTTTTACTACCAAGTATATTTAAATCCTGTATGACCCCTTTCTTGAACCAACTTTTGAGAAAGACTGATGCAGGTTCCTCGCCCGAAATCTGGTTGCCATTATGTTTCTGTAATGTTCGATGAATGAGTTGAGAGAAATCAAAATTTAGAAAATTTGGTTAGTATGTAGTAAAGTGAATTGTCCGCAGCACAAAATATACTTGACCACTGAGATTAAATATGGTGCAATAGATATTCATTTATAAAAGAATAGTATGTCCTTACTATTGATAATTCCAACTTCTGTATTTAGTTTTTCAAATCAAGAAATGATCATTATTAATGCAGTTTTCTCGCTTAATTATTAAATGCATTAATTCCATTTGTGTATGCAATAATCATACAATTTTAACATTAACACATTGCTACCATTTAGTTCAATAGAGGTTTTTTTTATTTCGAAAAGATATAAAGTAAAACCCCTATCAAATATATGCCATATTGCTAATCGTTGATAAATCATCAGGGAATCTGAAAGTAAAACCCTCTAACCCCTCCCTTCCAACACATGCTTCTTAATCTATTTTGCTGATTGTAGTTTTTTTTATTTCTGGAGATCCCATTCATGTAAAACTATTGGAATTACACAAAAATCGTCATTGTAGAACTTTTCATGGATTCAACTGATTACATGAAATTATTGAGATTTAATGCTATGAATGAACAATTGTTATACTCTAAATGGTTTCACCAACTGGTATGCCCTTCACTGTCTGATAGTCAACTTGTTGTGAATTGTTCACGCATCATTTTTATAGCTTGAAGAAAATTGAATTGACATGCAAATAAGCAGTCAAAATTTATAAAGTTGTTGTTGTTTATCGAAATGATCAAGTGGTATGTATCTCTTTGAAATTGAATTATGATTTATTTGCTAAAATCGATGTTCATAATTCTAAATCAAATCAAGCAATGATATTTCCAAATTACGACTATAAAAATATTTTTTTACACATACCAATTATATACAATTATTATTCAGATACCGAATGATGATGGGTATACATGGTATACAGTAGATAATCGAATTTTAACTTTGTTTCAGCACCTATTATATTACAAATACAACATACGTCCGATACTTATGTTAAATTATCCCAAAAAAAGGTATTCATTGCTCCTGACGACTCTATTGAGAATAAAATCGTATAATTATTATTATTTGGTTGACAAGTACGATTTAGAGTCAGAAAGGTGTAACTTGAAGTAGCAGTCATCATCTTTTCTATTTATAATGAATAATTTTTTCAGATATTTTTTATTTGATCATTTTTCAGACATTTATACCAAATGCGACTAATACGATAGGGAAATAATGAAAACAAATATTCGATAAAGTAAGATAGACATTGACGTAATGAAAAGAAAACAGACGAACAGACAACCTACAGTTTACATTTTATAAGATGGATAAGAATTTTATTTTCAAACACAGAAAATATTTGAAAATTTAACAAGTCTTTAGAAGATTGACATTTATGAAAACATTTTAAAACAATAATACATACATATCCCTTTATTAAGCTCTCTGTTGTTTCTGTGGCATCTTTGTACACGGTCCGGTCTAGATAAGTCTTATAGCATTCCAACTTTGACGGATAACAGGATACTTCAATATTCTGCATTTAGAAACATATTTCGTTTTCATTTTGTATAATATTATAATGATTTGGCAATTATTATCACAAGTAAAACAATTTTGAACAAGACTGAACGTTTTGAGGTTTTAACTTATCAGATCATTCAAAGATGAAAATTTAGTTTACTGGAGTATGGAAATCTATACAAATATGATAATGATATGCTGTTATGGTGTTGCCTTTGAAATCTAATTCATGTCGAAGCCGTATTAGAAATTATATTCTGGTGTTTTTCAAGTGCTTACTAGCATATTCCTTAAGTATACTCTCATTTACATACAGTCAAATATGTATATGAATTTCATATACTTGCTGAATATTTGTCTGCCAAGTTAAAATACATTACTTATGATTATAAAAGATTAAATGAAAATCCCAAATATTGTTCCAGGTCCTATCTCATGTCTTTTTTACTAGACAATGACCAGATATACAGTTTTAAAATAACTTACATGCTTAAAATCTTGCACTTTGTACATTTCATCAAGGTCATTGTGTGCCGGGGTGTGGTAGTAAATAATGTCATTTATAATATCTGTATCGATGCTTTGGTCAAACAACGCGCCTTTTTCTGCTACGTGGAGGTCAAAAGTCTAGAAAAAATTATACATAAGCACCACGTTTTGTTTAATTTGAATAACATTTATGATAGGATATAAATATAAAATATTACTTAATACTCCTTGGTACAGTGGTGTGTATTTCAAGCTAAATTGTTTTATCGTCCGGCAGCGTTATATATTCGAATATACTTAACGAAATGAACAATTTGTTATTGTAAGTTTCTGGTTCAGTAATTTGATAAACTTATCTTCTTTGGATTTCCGTAAAATTGAATCGTTCTGCCGAATTTCGAAAAAAAACACTAAATTTCTTTTTTCAGTATATATCAAAATGTTAGGAAAATTGTTCGTTTCTTATTGTTGTAGCTCTGATGTGTTGTTAATGTGCACGGTCAATTACTCTCTCTCGGTTTCTTCAACATCAAATTCATAGCTGATTAGACATATTGCACAGTAAAAGAGATTCAACGATTTTCAATTCATGCATGAATTCGGTTAAAAAATTTCCCTCGATTCTTAGCAAATATTGTCACCTTCATGAATAAAATCATACGTTCCGCATCTAGGGAAATCGCATTTTCTCACATGCTTTGAGTCTTTTGAACCAAATTCGCCAATGATTACTAATTTTTAAGGTTTGGTGCTTGGCGTCTAATGTTTATGATATGTGACGGATCGACCAGTTGAATCATATTTTGAGACTGTTATTAAATCTTGAAAAATCTTTTTGTAGTTTCGTAATATGTTGCTAAATACTATAAACTGCCAGAAGATTATTTTCTGTATATAAATAATGTCGGATAAACAGAAAAAAACGGATCAACCGTGTGAGAGTTCACAAACAATGCATGACAGATAAAACCATTATAAACACACCATCTTCCGAAAATTTCGATATATGTGGATAGGGAGGTTTAGGATTATACCTTTCTTCTTAAGTTACCCATTGGAATATTGAGCATTTGTTTAGGTTCAACTCTCTAGGGCTTTGTTGATCTTAAATGAATTTGACCAATATTTTTCGGCCCCTATGGCATGGTCATATTGCTCCTAATGATACTACTTATTAAGTCGTCCATGTCTTTCAAATGTTTAAGCGTGAACGTTCCTGATGGCAAATAAAAAAAAGCGCTTCTGACCAGTTTATCAAGTGTAATTTTTATATGATTATATTTACATAAATATTTACGTATGTATATTGCTTATTTAAGTCTAGATTCTAAACCTTTTTAAATAAATGTGATAGCATTACTATATTAGGCACAACATTTTGAAAACAAAAAATCTTGATAGCACAAATCAATTTCAAGCTTATATAATTGAACACAATGTTATTATACCAGTATAAGTCCTCAAAAATGGATAACTTCAGCAGTAAAATGCCAATGTAACAGGGACTATATTATGACATGATTAAATGATCGGTCTAGCATTACGAGATAACCGAAAAACATTATTTTTGCTTTGGTTTAAATGAAAAATATCAAACATTTCTTACAGCAGTATATTTGTGCTTCGGCAAACACTGCACACCAATCACACAAACACAGGAAAGAAACACTTGAAACAACATCTTTTATCTTCTTGATTGCAATGACACAAGAGTAAAGCTAAAATATAAATAAATTGTGTGAAACAATTCAACTATCGCAACATGTTGCTGTAACATATTTCTGGTGTTAAGGAGCTCATAATAACGTACTAACTTTAGTTAAGTGAATACAATTCTTACAAGTAGAAATTGTTCGATTGAAAAATAATATTCATCACTTATTTATATTCAGATATGTTAGATTTGAATCGATAGTGTTTAATCAAAAGTTGATTTTTTTGTCATTGACCTTGACATTTATATACTATCATAATGATTAAGTTGAACACTTTCATCTAGAAGCTCTTTTTAAAACGGAAACCTTATCCGATAACTAATATCAGAGATCCAGGACGAAAAATAAAATTCAAATTCAAATTTGGAAAAAATGTGCTTTGAAAATCCGAATCCGATTAACGAAATCAAAAGCATATCATTTTGGCAATAGTTGAAACTATGTAAAGACAGACAAGAACAATTTGGTATTGCTTGTAATAGATCGATATCTTTTTAGCATATCGTTGGATGAAACAAAATCAACCAATGTGTCTCGAATACCTGCCATAAAAAACAAACATAAAATAAAGTTTAGATTTGTTTCATACCTGACGATTTCTAGTTAAATAAGCAATTTATCCAGTGTACTTGAATTCGTTGTAATTTATAAAAAAAAAAGGAAACGTGTCTACTAAAAGAAGTTTCAACTTACCTTGACAGTCAACCTCAACTTTATGTTCACATCAAATTTGTATTAGTTGTCTCTTACCTGGCGTAATTTATATAACTTTCGTTATATGATTGACCAATGAAAATTAGAAGTCAACATCCTGGTACAAATTACTGTAAATCAAAATCTTTTCAAATGCCATGTCTTCTTATTTCCAAAAACTTCAAAGTTACCAAGCCCTTTAATCTTGATAGGAAATCGTTATGAGTGGCACTTTTGATAAAATATACTGTGTAGTAAATATTCCATAACATGAAAACTCCATAAATTAATTAATTTAAGGGATACACTTTGTGAACAATGGTTTCAATTCTTGGAACAAAATCGTCATGGATTTTGATGACAGTGCAATCACGTTTTTACAATTTATCATATCACCTGGTTGAACGTTATCGGGAACAATCAAAGTAAAGAGTTTTACAAGCCTATGATTACATTGATTCACGGAATCATTGAAATTAGGTCCCCCAGATGTCT